CCCTTAATCCTATGAATAAGTATGCACAGTAGCCTTCAAAAATGACTATTTCACCTTTAGACTCACTTTGACAAATTTCACCCTTTAAGTGACAAGGGCATTAGCCACTGCAAGTGATAAGAGAGTGAATCTTACATCTCTTACACCTAGAGAGAAATGAGAAAATGATCACAAAGGCCACACTAAAACTGGGTTAACATGGAACTAGTGATTCACATTGCTCATTCTATTCAATGGCTTATATCACAAAAGCCACTTTGCCCCTGTTTTGCACAAATCCTAGATAACTTGTGTGATAAGATGTCCCTACAATTTGAAGGACCAGTTCAAATCCCTAGCCCACTGCTTCCCATTTGACCCTTCTTATCCCCTCTTAACAATGCAAAAGTAAGCACCTAATGGTGTGGCCTAGTGGTCTGAGGTTCAAAATTCAATGGAGACAAAACACTAGGTGATTCTTCCTATCTGTCCTAACCTTGGTTTGCAAAGTTACCTATTGTCTATTGTTGGTGGGAGGTGTCCCGTGTAATTAATCAAGGTGTGCGAAACCTGACCGTCATAAAAAAAAATGCAACAAAAGGGCTAGGTCATTGCTGAACTCGCGGCTTAATGGTGAAAAAGTGGAAAGCTTAGAATCCCATAAAATTACATACAAAACACTAAGAAACAACAACAACAACCATGGAGAGAAAAACAGAAAGCAAACCATCTTCATCGGGAACTTGGACATGGAGGAAGAGGAGTTTGAAACCAGAAGTGTTGGAACGAACAATCTTGTTAAGAGTCCACTCGAATGCTCCTTTACTGCTAATGGAAGCATGTGGATAGCCCTTGATCGTCGACTCGTTCACCGCTACCATCACCCGAGTTGCCTCACCTTCCATACCTCTCTCGCTCAATCAGTTGATTTAGGGGCTTTTCTTTCCCAACTTCTCGACTTATTAGTGTTCTGACGTTCTCTGATGTTCTATTTTAAAACACATGTTCTCGCCAGCTCCGTCTAAATTCATTTCCAACTTTGGGCCTCCAACAATATTTTCTATTTTACAGAATCTCTAAATTTTCTCTGTTTTACTCCTGTATACACAATCAACCAATTTTATTTTTATCTCTTTAATATTATATTATTATTATTTCTATATCATTTTTATTTTTTACTTTTTTTCCAAATAATAATTCTATATAATCTTCATATAATTTAAACTTTTATTCTTATCAATTTTTTATTTAATATAACATTATATTTTATTCGAAATTTCTAAATAACATAAAGTGCAAACAAATATTATATATTATACATATTAATGGACAATTGTTCAAATAAAAGTGAAGTCATTAATGAAATACAATTATATAAATATTTCATAACTACTCAAGTTTCATGATTATTACGTTGCTCTCATAAATGTTGTATTAATGCATTACGAAATTCAAAATGAGAATTTTTCTCCTTAATTATATTTTTTTTATGTCTAGCTAAAATATTCTCAAGGAATATAGAGAAGAAAATACATGTTTAAGGAGAAGTTTAGAAGCTATTAGTGATCCATCTGTATGTGAATACATGCGACAAGAACAATTACGAATAGTTAAAAAAAGAAATCAACCACCACAACTACAATTACAACCACAGCAATTCTTTGGATCATCCCATTATTTTTTTCCGAATATTGGTGAATTTGGAAATGACGTAGCGGATTACTAAATTATTGTTGTTATTTTTAAAATTATTATGTTATGTATTGTATTGTATTCTTGTATATAAATTAATATATTATATATTGTATTTTTAAATTTAAAATTTCATCATATCATTTAAATTTTGTGCAATTTTCATAATGAATAACAATAATAATTTTAAATTATACATTTAAAGTGATGAAAATTAAAAAAAATGAAATATTATTAATTCGCTATGAAAGTAGTATATATTAACTAATATATTTCTTAAAATGGTATATTACATTAAAAATAATTACGAATGTTAGAGATTTAATTAATGGTCTTATATGATTTACAATATGTTAATTAGAAATATTAACATAAAAGTATTAAAAATCTTTGTAAATAGACCATTCTAATCCATTTTCCCCCAATATTTGTGAACATGCAAATAAAAACGCGTGAATGTGTCAATTTACTTTCCAAACCCAATTAAAAACGTCATGTTTCAGTTAATTTCTCTATTAATTAAATCTTTAAATACATAATCTTCCCCAAATTTTCAATAGAGTTTACTCTTCAAATCTGCTATCAAACTCACTGTAAAATGCAATTTCATCCAAAAAAAAAAGAAGAACACGATAGTTCACAGTACAACGTACCATTGTACAAGAGAGAACACGATGCAAATCGGAATTAGAATCTTTGTACCGAATTTCCACAACAATGCTGACCCCATTCTACCATTAATTAAGACACTAGCTTCCCCAAAATTTGAATAGAATTTACTTTTCAAGTTTACTATCAAACTTACTGTAAATTGCAATTTTATCTGAAAAAAGAAAAACACAAAACGCCGGTGAAATATTAATTGGATACAGTGATCCTGGCCTATCTTTATTTTTCTAGTGGTGGATGGCTAAATCAGTTTTCATTGTCGTCGGAGCTCAAAAAATCATATCCCTAAACATGTGTTTCCCCAACAAATCACAAATACATGAAGAAGATAATATGATTTTTATCAAATACTAGATAAATATGAAATCCTAACTTATTAACCTTCAATCCCTTGTTTATTTAGTTAAAATGTCAAGCACATTTTAATAGAAAAGAAGAGAGGATCTAAAAATGAAAAAGAAAAGAGATGGAGATGCTTTTCTTAAGATCCAGGTTGGGTTGTCCTCATTTTTATTAATTTTTAAATTTAATTAAAATGGGTCAAATGCTCTCCATAGATGAGAAAATGAGTCAAAATGGTATATTTACAAAGGTAGTTAATACTTTTATGGGGTAATAAAACATTGGTAAAGTTAAGGTATCTTTTTGAAAATCCGGGACAACTTTAGTGGTGACTTTATGTTTTTTCTCTATAATAAAATAATCAAAAAGTGAAACAGAGAGGGTGAATAGTAGTTCTCCAAATGGAGAATAGATCAATAGAGAGTGAAATAGAAGGTGGTTGAAGAGCCCAGGGTATCTCCAACCCTATCCTCTATTTTACTCTCTAAATATAGGTTCTCTATTTTGTCAGACAACCAACTTCAACCCAATTATATATTTTACTCACTAAGAAAATAATCTTCTTCAGTCTCCTCAATATTATATTATTATTTTTATTTAATTTTTATTTTCTTATTTCATAATATATTATGTTATGTACTGTGTTTTTAAATTAAAATTTTCATCTTTTCATTTAAAATTCTTCATAGTGAAAATTAATAACAATATCAAATTATATTACTTAAAGTGACGAATTTTAAAATAAAATAAAATATTTGAAGCATTATTAATCGGGGATGAATGTAGTATATTGTCAACTTCAGTTTTATATTGCCTACATGTTTCTATCGCTTCATCCTTACCATTCGGCAAATAGACATAACGATATCTAGTGCAGTTGTTAATAAAATTTATGAAACACTTTTTCCCACCACGAGATGGTGTTGACTTCATATCGCAAATGTCAGTGTAAATCAATTCTAAGGGATTAAAGTTCCTTTCAACAACACATACTTGACATTTTGATTTATTGCACTAGAAGTTAGGCAAAACTTCTAAGTTGATCAATTTTTGCAAGGTTTTGTAATTGACATGTCACAAGCGTTCATGTCACAAACAATTTGATTCAAGCAAGTAAGAACAAACAGAAACACTCAATTTGAAAAAACCTTCCATGAGGTAACCTTTTCCTACAAATATTTTGTTCTTTACTTTTTAACTTTGTCAAATACAAACATTGTTTTAGAGTCGGGATGTCCTTTTCCGAAAGACCTTTTCATAACATTCAATTTATTATAGAATTACCCAAAACCATAGTCTCATCGGTCCAATAAGGGAAATATGACCCAAATGTTTGTTTTACAACACAAACATAACATATCACTTTTCACCAATGTTTATGTCTATAAAAATAAATTTATTTTAATAGACATCTTTTCATGAAAAATCATAATATTTTAAGTGACATTTTTTCATCAAAAAATACAATTCTTTTGAATGAGTAATATAAATTTTTGTAGTTTTATACTATTCACATCATATACTAGTAAAGAGAGATTCAACGACCACAATATCAAATATAATCCAAGAATTTTGTGAGTCTAATAAATGAGTTAGGTGGATCATGAGATTAAAAAAAAAGTCTAACATAATACAAGAATGTCATTAAATTTCATATCTGTACTTTCAAATTTAAATTAGATAGTAAGTCTAATTTTGTCTTTATCACAAGTAAAGAACTCCCCACATTTTAAATATGTTCTCATAAATATTTTTCAACTATTTGAAATTATTTTCCACATATTTTTTTTCTCATGCTTTCAAATTGTATACCATCAAAAATTCAAAATACACATTGTTAACACGAAGCCTTCTTTTGGAGATTTAATCCATAAAAACACCCATTGCAGGCACAAAAATCACTAATTTTATTTCACTAGTGTTTTTTTCCCTTTCTGTCACAATTAGACAGACCACTTAATATTTATGTAACACCCCGCCTTTCCGAAACGTATAAAATTACTCGTATATTCGTGGAAAGACAAGGAGGATGGGTAATAAATTAAGAATGATGTGGTATGTCATATTTTAAGTGTTCAACTGTTGTATTTCAAGTTTTGAAGTTAGGTAAGTGGCAAAATAAAAGTTGACAAAAGTTATCGTAAGTCCTTTTAAAAGATTTCTCTAAATTTTGGGTCAAATGTCTTGGATATTTTCTCCCAATATATAAAGATTCATGGGGCCCACCACCTATGAAATTGAAGGTCTACGAGTCTAGTTTCTAACGCATCAAATCATTCATTCATACGACTTCAGAATAGAGAGATATTTGCGTTTTCATGGGACTGCGCAAGCAGACACGTGAGGTGGGGACCTAGGTCGGTGGAACTTTATATATATCTCCTTCTTCGACCTTTTCTTCATCTTTTTAGCTAAGAAACAAAAAAAATTAGAGAAACCCATTTCTAGGATCAACTAAAGTATAGATTTTCTCGACCTAAGTCCTTGACGAAAGTTGTTCTACGCATTGGGCTCATCATCGTGGTATAATTTGTTTTATCGATTTCATAGCATATCACACTATAGTGTTGGGACATCAAGGGTTTGGACATATTTGAAGGTTTTGAGGCGTATTACGAACTTACGATTGAGGTAAGACCCTTCTTTCATCGACTCTAGCTTTTATAAGCAACAAATAGCAATTTGCGACGCAAATACATATCTTTTATCGGATTGTCGTGGTATCTTCTATTTTTGTGTGTTGATTATGGTCTTGCCTTGTTGTAGTATCGAGGGAGTTACGAGTAAAAGTCGTTAGGCCACGTGAATTCAGCGAAAAAGGTATGTTAAGGCTATTCCCTACTTACGGCATGCTTCCTTAAAGCTTAGGCGCAATGTAATTGGGTTGTTATCCTTGTTATACTTGTAGCCATTATTGTTGATTGTTTGCTGCTCGAGTTGATATAATCCTCCCTTGTCGGGATTCTTATTCATTTAGTAGCGTCCCTATGTTGGACACGACTTAGAAGCTATTTTTATAGGTTGATTATAACTAAATTACTCTCTTTTAGCGATTGGATTATTATTGTTACCCTTGGGGCTATTGTGGTTAGCTGCAGGAATGTGATATATGCCTAGAAGGGCTATGTTCTGCCTACGGGCTATATGGATGCCTAAAAGGGCTATGAGTTGCCTACGGGGCTATATTGATGCCTAGAAGGGCTATGAGTTGGTATATTGATGCCTACAAGGGCTATGAGTTGCCTACAGGGTAATATTGACGCCTAAGAAGGCTATGTGCTTCCTA